ACAGAGGGATATGAAGTGATGGATAGGAGGAAGAGGTGACTCGAGACTGGAAGTCGTTAGGCATATTGCTCTCAGCTGCAAGGAAAAGAAAATCCAGCTCAAACTAACTTAACAAGAAAATAGATATGCTCCCTTCACCAAGTCTGACAGCTAAATAAGCGTCACTCAGTAACTCCAGCTCCATTTCTTTAGCCCCTTGGCCAGATTCTGTGTGTGGCTCTAGCTCCAGGCTGCTCTCAAGTTCAAAAGCTAATTTATTCCAGCCCGGTCTCCCAAGCTGCTATGTCATGTTGGCTTAAACTGAGTTGTTTATTCCTGATGATCCAATCCCTGCCATCCTGGAAATGGCTTCACTGATTCACTGTTCCTAGACAGAGAAGGGGCTGTGGAACACGGGGTCCCACTGGCTAAAGCAGGCCCATGTCTGGACTGGGAGCAGGGACGCCCTGAGTCACATGGACTTGATAGAAGGAACTAGTCACCTAGCCAAAGCTGTGTACTCAAGGGGCGGGGGAGGCCACAAGCAGGGTCCACAGGCACTAAAAATCAAATGTGTAATAGCAGACTAGGTGAGTGATACAAGGAAAAACAGAGGGGTTCAGGGCTGCTTGTTTTGCGTGTGAGTGAGTGAGTGAGTGAGTGAGTGAGTGTGTGTGTGTGTGTGTGTGTGTGTGTGTTTTATTAACTGAGACCTGAAAAAGGAGTGGGCATTAGCCAAAGAAGGGAGGGATCCAAGTTGGAACTGAAGATGGGAAGGTCTTGTCCATGGTAGGAACTGAAAGGAGGCCAAAGTGGCCGGAAATCCGGTGAAGTAAAGAGCGAGCATGTGGCAGAGAGCAAAGGCAAACTCATGCACCTGTAGCCGGGAGCCAGGTGAAGCCAGCTGATCTCCATGAACAGGAAGTAAGAAGCGCCAGGTGAACCCATCATGCTGATCCAGAACCAGCAAAGATCGAGACACTTCCCACACCATTGTCCTAACATGGAAATGTGAGAAATAAATGTGACTTTGGAAATTAATACTATGTAGCAGCAGGCAGGGTCACAATCATCTTTAAACAAAAAGAATCACTGTGTCCTGATTAAAAAAGAGAGGATCCCAACTCTACTTGTAGGTGAGTTTTGGCAACATTTTCATTAACTTCCTGGATTGTTCCACTCTCCTGACCTAGCAAGTGGCTCTTAGAACAAAGCAGCTCAGCCTGCTTTGGTGGGAGTGGTGGGAGGCCTGGCCACAATCAGAACTGGCCACACTCAGAACAGGGGGAGTTTCCAAGTCCACCTCTTCCTCGAAGCAGAAAAGATGGATCACTGAAGCACAGGCTCGTTCTGAGGTTTCTGACAGGAAATGGGTGATAGGCACCTATCTTTGGAGATAATTCCAGAGTTGCCTGAAATCAGAGCAGAGGCGGCCAGGGAGAAACATTGCTAACAGAGTCACACCTAGGCTGCGACTGTGAGGAGACCCACAGCCAGGAGCCATGGGAAAGACTCAAGTCTGCCATTCCAGGCTCCAAGGCCCAGTGGCGGTCCCAGCTGTCCAGCACCTACCCTGACCTCCCACTCTGAGGTAGCCCCAACCTCTAGAAACACTGCAGGGACTGGAGACTGGTGTTTACTGCTAAGAGGAGGGGGCTGAGGTAGCGGGTGTTTCACAGTTTAGTTGACTGGAGACACTGACTCCATACAAATAGATTGGGTAACCACAGGCAGCTGGGTAACTACAGCCCCACTGGAAATGTCCTCAGAGGGGGAAAATGTGTCTGGAGACTGAATTTAGGATGAATCTCAATCCATAAGCCTCAGTGGGGTGAACCTCTGTGTGTGTAAACACACATGATGAACAGTTGGGCAGCAAGGTCCAAGATGGTAGGGGTGGATCTGGGGAACTGGAGGGGCCCAGAGCACTGCCTGGAAGCCACTGGGCTCCTCAGATTCAAGGTAGGACACATACCCCAAGGTTATCAGCTTCTATACAGAGGTAACATGCAAATGTAATAGAGAGGGAATCAAAAGAAAACCTAGGACAGGAATCAGTGCTAACCCCAGGGCAGCCCGGGTATGTGAAGCCATTACCACCCATTCTGGACAGCACTGTATTATTTCAGAACTTCTGCACCCCTGCAGATGAGCTCATGGTCAGGCTGCCTCCAGCCCTGTCGCCCAGCACTTCCTACCTAGAATGTAAGACAACCTGGGGTCTCCTGGGCTGACAAATACAGCAGTCAGAACCCCTGGGTCATCCTCAGTTCTCCCTGCTGCTTCCTGACACGGAGTCCTCAGTGGGATAGTTCTCTACCTTGAGGCTGCTTTCATGGCCGAACCTAGTTCTGAGAAGGAGGGATCAGTAATAAGCATCCAAACCATTCACTGAAATCAAGAGACACTTCCCAAAGTCCAGGGCTAGGAAACACTCAGTAAGGGAAGAGACTACCATCTCATTCTGCACAGAGCTCAGCTCAGTTTCCACAATGAAAGTTCCAGAACACCTGGAACGCTGTTGAGAACTCAGGTATTAACAACAATACAGTGTCCAAAAGATGGCAGATGAGGTAGTGGGGGCAGGGAGTAGTCTAGAGCCCCCTGGGCAGGAGGGACATTTTCCTCTACATCTAGTTCTGTACCAGGCCCACTGTTTCTGCCTACACACACTCCCTTCCTCATGAGTTAAACTATTATGCTACACAGATCACTTGCATCCTGACCTCACCCCGACGTTCAGGCCCAGGTCAGCCGCTGTGTATGCCGCTCAGATGTCCCTTAGGCACAAAGTCTGAATGTCCCAGCTGAATTTATAATCTCCCTCCTGTCCTCCCTGCACCTCTTGCTTGTGTTCCCAGTACTGGACAATGGCGTTTACCCATTTACCCAAGGCTGTTTAGTTTTCCTCTAGCATTGTCCTCAATTCTGCTTCTGAAACCTCTCAAATCCATCCCCTCCTCTTTGATGTAACCGCAGCTTACTGGAATATTGCATTAGCGTCCTGAGAGGTCACCATGACAGCATATCCAGCTTCCAGCCAGCTACTAGACTGCAACAATGCATGTGTGACCCATCAGCCTCAACCTGGGTCACTCAGACACGGGTTCTCCAGACCCTGCCCCAGTGTCCATCCAATCTCAGCTCCCGTCATGCCCCACCTCCTATTTTACACCCTTCTAGTGCTAAGAAGTTATGGCTCCCACCCCCACTCAGAATCCCAGCTATTTCACTGTTTCTTCCCCTGAACCCTTCCCCTTCTTTGAAATCCTTCCTTTTGGCTCATATGGTTCCCTAAACATCATCTTATTATTGCATTTACTGATATCTGCTAGTTCCATTCCAGTATTCACACAAGACCCTGCCCCTCAGTGATAATGTGAGCTGGGAAAGGTAAACTGGGAAGTAGTGAAAGGCAGTGATCCCAGGTGAGCTGGTACTTAGGAAAGAGAGGAGGGGTTGAGGGTTCTCATTTGTTGGGAGTGCAAATCTTTCTACCACGATACAGAGCTCCAGTCTACAAGGTTCACATGCATCTGTTATCTGACGGGTACTTTCCACGTCCATGCAGTAACCAGAATAGGAGTGGCATCCCAGTGTCATAATAGGTGGGTGTCAGGAGAGGGATTTTCCTTGAAAATCCGATGGAAATCAGAGTTCTTGGTCAGCAGTTTTAACCCTTCCAAAGAGAAACTCTGGAGGTCAAAATGCTGCAAATTAGAAAAACATCCAGTGTTGTGAGCCTTCTGATTTAGCTCCTGTGTGGGAGGAGGGTCTTACTGGCAACATTTAGAATAAACTGAGACCTCATGGCCCAGGGTAAAACTGTGCCATGAGCCTGGCATGCAGATGTCTCTAGGCCCTGCCAGTAGGGTATCACACACAGCACTCCTGACCTGCCTCAGCCTTGATGTGAGCAGGAGGACTAAAGCAGCTGCCATGTTAAGAGGGGAAGGGCCAGACAGGTAAAACCACATGCATGAGCAGACATTGGCAAGGAAGCCCAGGTCTTCACGGTTTAACCTGTGATTCGGTCCAATCTTACTGGAAGCAGGACTGACTCCCTGAGAAAAGGGAAATCCTTAAACCCCATTTCCTCAGCCACAGCAGCAGCTCATTGAAAGAAATGTCACTTTAGCTACCTAATTTTCCCAGTCTCGATGGACCTACATCTCTCACCCATATTAATGTGAAGATGAAAATTCTCATAAAATACTTTGGTAATGGCTTAGTCTTGTTCAAAACACATTCCAATTGTGAACATCCCAAGAGCTTTAATCTCCAGGGATTCTCAATTTCTGTATTTGTTTAAAAAGAATTCATAAAGGAATTTTAGCAGCAATTGTGATCTACAAAGTACTTTGAGATTCCAGCACCTAAGTTGCCTGCACTCATTTTACACTATAAAGTGTAGCCTCAGGTTCTAGAGACAAACAGGATTCTGATAGAATCCTTCCTCTGACATATTTAGAGTAAGCAAGTTGTGTAACTTTGTATAGCTTTCTCTTCTGGGAAATGGGAGAATAGTATCTACTTTCTAGAGCTGTTGTTTGGATTAAATGAGATGATGTGTACAAAGAGCTGAGCAGAGCCTACTAAAGAGCACATGTTCACTAAACACTGGCTATCTTGTTGTTACTAGTAATGACTTAGTAATGACATCATTGTTGTTCCTACCTTTTGCTGAATATAGGCCAGATTATCAATTATGCCCTATTCTCAGCAGTCTCAAAGTTCTTTTGTGATGATACATTCCAACTGAAAACTGCCATGTTCAAGTATCTCTGACATATGTTGATGGGGTATGAGTACATGTGGACAGTATAAAGGCACAGCACGGGTTGGAATCACTGCTCAGAGACACTGATTCATCTCTAACCCCCTAAACTGCCAGTTTGGCACCAACACTGACACTGCTCTTACATGACAGCATATGTAAGGCCAGCCTGAGGATAGTGTTTGAGTTTTTTTATATCAGAAAAACAATCACACTATGAAGTGCCTTCAAATCTGGATCCTTATCATTTATAATTCACTTCCAATTTACCTGGATTATGTCAAGATAACTTCCCTGGGAATACACGAAACTTAAAAATTAGGAAAGTTCCTTTCTAGATATTTTGTGATGACCTTGTTTGGGACATTTAAATATACATTTCTCTCTTTTGCTGTGGGAGGAGGTATCTCCTATGATGCTTTCCCTCCTGTATGGGTTCTCCGATGGGCACTGAAGTGGGAGCTGTTATTGAAATCTTTTCCACACTCCATGCACTTGTAAGGTTTCTCTCCAGTGTGGATTCTCTGATGAATTATAAGACTGGAACTCTGGTTAAAGCATTTCCCACACTCTCTGCACTTATAAGGCTTCTCTCCTGTGTGAATCCTCTGGTGAGTAATGAGGTTCGAACGGTCACGGAAGAATTTTCCACACTCAACGCATTTGTAGGGCTTCTCTCCTGTGTGCACTCTCTGGTGAGTGATGAGCTTAGAGCGCTCACTGAAGCATTTCCCACAATCCACACACTTATATGGCTTTTCCCCAGTGTGGGTTCGCTGGTGGTTGGCCAGCGTGGAGCTCTTACTGAAGCTTTTCCCACATTCAGCACATTCATATGGTTTCTCTCCTGTGTGGATTCTTTGGTGACTAATGAGGGCAGAGCTCTTAGAGAATGTTCTTCCACATTCAGAACACTGATAGAGCTTTTCCCCTGAGTTGGTACTGGGCAGTCCAGGAGAATTCAAGTTCTTACTGGAATTTAGAGTTTGCTTAGATGTCTCCTCAGCCAAGTTCCTCCAGTGAGTACTACTGGGTGAACTTTGTCCCAAGTTACCCCTGGGCTCACTACAGTGGTCAGGATTTCCTCCCAAGTGGATTCTCTGATGTTTCAGAAGGTTTGAGCTCTGGTTGAAGCTTTTCCAACATTCCCCACATTTATAGGGCTTTTCCCCTGTGTGAATTCTCTGGTGGGTAACAAGATTAGAGTGGTCACTAAAGCTTTTCCCACATTCAAGGCATTTGTAGGGCTTTTCTCCAGTGTGGATTCTCTGATGGGTATTGAGGTTAGAGCGGTCACTAAAGCTTTTCCCACATTCAGTGCATTTGTAGGGCTTCTCACCTGTGTGTATCCGCTGGTGGGCAATGAAGTGGGAACTCCGGCTGAAGGTTTTCACACAGGTGTCACACTTGTAGGGTTTCTCTGCAAGGTATAGGCCTTGATGATCAATAAGTTTTTCTAAGTCTTCTTCAGAAGAACTCTCTTCCCATTGCTCCTGTGATGGATTTCCCCATTGTCCTTCACTTTCATTTTCACTGTCTTCCTCCCATTCATGAGAGTGGCAAACATCCTCTGTGGTTTTTGATAAGGCTCCAGGCAAATCCTCAAAAATGTCCTGCTCTGAAATCTGGTCTTCCTCCTCATGCCTCACTTCAAAACCTAAAAGAACGAATTGAAATGCAGTTTTTAAGTTCAATCATCAGTTAGCATCTATTTATATATCTGTATCTTGTGTCTTATGAATTTGGCTAAAACGTATCTCATATCTTACACCTCACATCTATACAGGTCACTAACATGAAACAAATCAAGTTTTGGCACACACATTCATTTCTGATTTACAAAACAGAGAATAGCTTGAAACAGAGCAACCCCACCACCACCACCACCACCATCAAGGTGGGCATAGGCTCCAGGGCTAACAGCCAGCAAGTCAACTTCCCTACTTCCTCCTGATAATACATTAATTATCATATGAGACTGAACAAACCCTTTAACTGCCCAAATAAACTCCAGTAAAATCTAGACCTGATTGCCTGTTCTCATCTGGGGGATCACATTAAGTTAAAGAATATATGATATGAACACAAATCCTTTTCCTATTCAATTCCAATCCCTCTTTTAGTTCAGACAAGATAATGAGCCTGGCTTCCTCAGTCTTTGGGCTTGTGACTTTGCAGATATACAGTTACTCCGGGCTTACCAGTATCTTGGGTTTTAGGACATGGGGTTGGCAGTTTGATTGCATCTTCATCTGCCATCTCATCCCAGACCTCCTGGTCTTCAGTCTTGCTGCTCTCCCTAGATTTAGGGAGCCCTATTGACTCCCTGAGTGGTCCCATGACTCTAACGGCAGTCCGAGCCCTCATCAATGAGTCCAGCTCTTCGTAGAAGGGGCATGTCCCTGGTGGGTGGCTGCTCTTGGCTTTCCGGTAGCTTCGAAGGAGGTTTTTGAATCTGTAGCGACACTGCTCCAGTGTCCGTAGGAAGCCCTGTGCACACAACCGCTCTGCAATGGCACGGTATACCTGGCTGTTCTGATGGCAGGTACGCAACTTTTCAGAGAAGGGAGACTCACTGAGAATGGTCAGGAAAGCCTTGGTCTCCTCATAGCCCCAGTGCACACCTGCTGTCAGGAGCAAAGATTTCAGAATTGTGAGACTTAATACGTTGCCTAGGTCATCAGGGATCAGAGTCATCTTCCCTGCTTAACACCTAGAACATACGCACCTCAGAAATTTCCATCATGTCTGAAGCACCAACAGTAATACTCCCTTGCTTCTTGAGGCTATACAGAACTTCCCACCATCACCCTTCCTACCCCCCACTTCTCAGAGATTCCATTAATACTTTATAGTCTTGGCAGAAAGAGAGAACTTCGACATAGTATACCAGGTAAGACCCCATCCCCTACCCCCTGCCAACTTCTTGCACACACAACTGCAAGTTGGCTAAGGAAAAGACCTATAATTAGAGTCCAAGTTATTCCCCCTATATCCATTCAATAAACATTTTCTTTTTATGAGTTAACCTTTCAAGAGATATAGAAACTGAAGATCCCTAAATATTAAAGATACACATAGACCTCAAGTAATCTTGGCAATAGAGCCTTTCTGAGGCTGCCCTTTCCTCTTCTGTGGAAGAATAAAAAGGAAGGTGCCTACTCTCGGTTCCTCTGCAGGTGAATGACGTCTTCGGGGAAGCCACCTTGTGGAGAACAAGCCCTGCAGAACTGGAGGCCCAGGGCTCTGACCCTGACTGCTCCTACCTCGCTGTGTGTCTCTGGCAGACACACATGGTCTCTGGAGCTTGTGTGAAAGTGGTTCTACTTTTACATTAGCCAGGTTTTCATAATGACTTGATTATTCAAGCATTTCGTGATTTCTGCTGTATCTATTTAACATTTCACACACTATCTTTCTTTATCTAAAATAACTATCTGTAGAGTCATGGGTTAATGTGCTCAGACATTAAATGTAAAAGTTTTACTCCTGCAGTACCTGGGATCAACTCCCGGGTTGATATTACCATATTGCTTTGGGAAATAATGCTTTAAGATCCCTTGTGGTTTTAAAGGGGTCTGTTTCCATAACTAAGAACATTTGTACAATGAGAACTGATCGTGAGAGAAGAATGCAGGTGTCATGGATGCCCTAAGAAACTTAGCACCTTGCTCCAGAAGCATCAGTGCAGACTTGCAGTATGTGCCCTCAACTTAGGAGGACTGGAAGGAGAATTAGAATCTAGATCCTATTAGACCCCTATGTTCTTACCAATACGACTGTGGAACAGAGTTGGGCCTCCTGGAATCCTGCGCCCCTGCACAGACTCGCCAGCAGTGAGGACATCACCATTACAATCTGCTGCTTCCTCAGGCTCCCAGGCCCCTTCCTCCTGTTCCTCCATCTCTGTGTCACTATCCCCCAGTCTGGAGACAGCAACAGCCTCTCCTGGTGCATCTGTAGCTCTGATGGCAGTCCGGGCCCTCACCAGGGCCTCCAACTCCTCGTAGAAGGGGCACGTCCCTGGTGGGTGGCTGCTCTTGGCTTTCCGGTAATTCCTTAGGAGGTTTTTGACCCTGTATCGACACTGCTCCAGTGTCCGCAGGAAGCCCCGTGCCCTCAATCGTTCCGCAATAGCACGGTAGATCTGGCGGTTCTGGTGACATGTCCGGAGTTTTTCAGAGAAAGGAGACTCACTCAAGATTGCCAGGAAAGTCTTGGTCTCCTCATAGCCCCAGTGCACACCTGACATCTTCATGTCCTCCACATCCCATTGGTATTGTTCTTCCCAGGTCCTTGAGTCCCTCCAGGCCACTGCCTGAGCTGCTTTTGATTGCTCGTTATTGAGATTATAATCTGCAGTGTTCCTTTTTCCGGCATGTGTAAGACTGGGATCCCAAAATTTGGATCCTTGCTCTCTTTGGCAAATATTCGGTTTTGAAACCACAAGTCCTACATAAAAGGAAGAAGAGAAGGCCTGTTAAGCAGTGTTTAAAACATCCCTGTGGAACATCATTTCCTCCGAGAAGCTGAAAAATTCTCATATTGATCCCTTAAAAGCTTGTGAATGGTAACTAGAAGTACAGGATTGGTTCAGTAGGCACGGAAAGTGACCTATCTGCTTTGTTCATTGGCTTTTTGTTGTTTTGAAACATATAATACAAAGGAGTGACTACAATTGGCCCATAAATGGGCCCCTGACCTAGACTGGTCTAATCAGAGCGGATTTAATGGCTGGAACAAAGGTGTGTGTGTGCCTATGTGCACACGCATTTCTGTGTGCACATGTGTGCCGTCTCTCTTGCTGGGAAATTTGCAATCTCAATTGCCACTGGCATCTATCTTTTGATGATGACACAAATAGCTTTAATATGAAGTTGATACAGAGGATGGCAGAGCAGAAAGTACTTGGGTCTATTTTGATATTGCTGAGCCAATTTCTACTGTGCCTGGAGCATGCCCGCCTCTGAACTTCCAATAACAGGCTAAAATTAATTTCATTATTTTCTAGTACAGCTAGCTATGTTTAAAGAAGTATGGAACCAGCAATTCCCGGCCCTAACAAAAATATTTGAAGAAAACTAGATGAAAAAGAGTTTACAGCTAAAAGAAGCTTAAGGATAATCTAGTTCAGCATTTCCCAAAGTTTGTTCCTTTGATCACCACATTCCCCAGATAACACCTATAAAGAGGGGGTTACACTGTCAAGTGAGTAGCCAGCAAGGTCCCGGCATTTCACCACACTGACCTGAGTCAGGCCTCACACTGTCTCTCCTGCCTTACCCGACTACATGCCCAAGACCCCTCCTGCCGACACCAGCTCCCTCAGGGACATGTTCCATCATTATTCGACATCCATGTAGACATGCCTATAGAGAAGGGAGTCTGGCTGATCACACAGAGCCCTGTAGGTTTATTTCTCATGGCAGTGTAGTCCACTGGTCTCATGGGCTTAGTGTGCTCAACTCTGCCTGAGAGATGGAGCCTGTTTGATGCTGAAAAGATTGGATTCTGAGCCGGCTCCCCCTGGACCATGCTGAGTGGACTGAGTGGAAATGAAGATGGTGAGCCTGAGAGAACAGGTTCTTGGAGGTCATCCTGTCAGCCTCTACCCAGGCAGACTCCCTTCCACCACAATACTGGCCCAAAGAGCCTGGCTTCTTCCTGTGTCTGGAATTGCATGGACTTCACAGAGCCATGAGTCTTAATGGAGTGAGGAGGCTCTTTGGGAACAGACTGCACCAGAAGCCTCACCCATCTCCAGAGGCCGTCACTTCCTTACCCAGGGATTCTCCATCTCCACAGTGGTCTCCCTGTGGGCCTTTGCGGAACTCCTCTGCATGTGCGCCATGGCCCGGGGCCTCCTGTCAGATGCACAAGAGAAGGAGCTCAAATGTCTCTGATCCTTAAAAACAGCCTGCAAACCTTACCAGGCCCAGGAAGGAGAATGAGGACAGAACGGAGGGACACCACGGACGAGGCGACATAGCGAGAAACACCTGACCGAGGAGAGGCCCCAGAGAGGCAGAGGCTCACGCCCTGTCCCTTTCACCTCTCGGCTGAGAGCAGGCCACAGTGAAGCAGAGCGTGGGGGCAGGAGCACAGGAGTAGCGGTGACAGCAAAGGGAGCACAGACAGCAGCTTACCTGGGACTCAGCTGTCACCTCCCAGGCTTCAGTGCTCCCTGTGTTTGGCAGAGTACAGACTTGAGGAGTGAGCACAGCTAAAAAGAAGAAAAGTCTCTGAATCCCAAGTCCTGGATATCAAGTCAGCCCTCTCTCAGCTTCAGCTTTGCAAAAGCCCTGCTTAGAGCAAAGCGAGACTCTCCCTGCAGTCAACACAGAGTTCCCCTTTTACCTTCTTTCTAGAGTATCCAGCTTCTAGTTGCTCTGAGTACGTGCCCTGGGTGTGAGATGCCATCCAGAACACGTGCACTCCCCACCCTGCCCCCATGCTGTCGCTTGCCTCCGTGTGACCCACAGACACCACCTACCCCTTGGCCTTACGTTCTGCACCTCTCTCCTCCCTGTGCACCCTTCTTACACGCCTCCTGGCCCTCTTCCCTGCTGTCCCCTGAGTCTGGGCACTCACCACTCTCTTCTGAGGGCTGTGGCAACTTGGTGCCAGGATGCTCAGGAAGGTCAGGACAGAGCTTCTTCGCCCAGGGCTTCTGAGACTGTTCTGCTGGATGCAGCTGGAGGCTCTGAGATTCTTGCGTGACTTTCAAGGACCTGGTCTCTTCTGCATGGAATTCCAGTTCCTATGCACAGATGCCAAAGTCCCTAGTCACCAATTCAGGTACAGAAAATTGCCATTTACAAGGGATGTGTTCTCAAACCTCTAATTTCCCCCAACAAAATGGGATTACGTATATGATCCTAAGAATCGCTGACAACATAGCAAGTGGAAGCAATCGGGCCGTGTTCAGATAAAGGTTCCGGTGGGCTGACTGAATCCACAGCCAATGAAGAACTTGTCTATATATAATAGTTTCAAAGCAGAATTCCAAGTTTGTGTTATCCTAAAACTACAAATCATATCATAGGCAAATTGCTGGAACTGTGACTGTTAAATCTGAAATACCTCCACTTCCCTTATCTCACTTCTCCCATTTAGCTACACAAGTCCTTACCTCCCTAAGGTTCTTTATTTATTTTTTTATTTTAGCTCTTGAAAAATGGTGATAAGAATACTAACTTACAGGTTGCTGGACTGAGCTATCTGTATACAAAGTTTAGAACAGTGTCTGACACACAGTGCTCAGTAAGTTTGGGACTTGCAGGCATTTTAATTCCCACGAGGCCTTGCGCTTGTAGTAAAACCTGGAACCTAAGAGCAGCTGAGGTTCTGCTTCACACTGAGATCTGTGAGTCACCTGACTTTTTGAACCTTAATCTGTAAATATGGGATAATAATGCTACTCTGCCTACCCTCATTATTGCTGTAAGCATCCCAAGAGATCACATAAGTAAAAAGATTCTGCTTAGTGTAAAACATAATACTGATTAGCTATGCTACAGATAGGGTGTCAGCATGTAATTCAGAGCAGGGGTTATGAATTCCAACTTTAGGGTCAAACTGTCACTCTACCATCTAGTAGCTATGTGACATTGAGTCAGTCGTGTACCTTGTCTCTGTCTCTGCCTTAATTTCCTCATTGGTAAAATTAAAATAACAGGACATCATGAAATTGTTGATAGGACTAAATTCATTAACACATGGAAAGCACTTAACATGCTTGGTACATATGAGCTGCTCAAGAATGATAGTGGCTGCTGTGTTATGTCAGCAACTCTAAACCTAGTCACAGCCACCTGCCTTGCCCAACCCACTCCGCAGACAGCAGACTGTTTGCCTCACCTGCTGTCCTGCGGCCTCGGCCTCTCGCTGCCAGTCCTCCACCAGGGCCACTGCCTCCTCACCACTCTCAGGGTGATGGGCCTGCACCCAGGCCCGGACCTCCCTGGGTAAGATGGTCAGGAACTGCTCTAGCACCAGTAGCTCCAGGATCTGCTCTTTGAGGTGCATTTCCGGTCTGAGCCAGTGACAGCAGAGCACCCAGAGCTGGCTGAAGGCCTCGTGGGGTCCAGCTGCATCCCTGTACTGGAACTGCCTGAAGCGCTGGCGGGAGGCCTCAGGGCCAGAGTCACGGTGCTTCTCCTGGAGCTTGGCTTCTGATCGCCACGAATCCTCCTCCATTTTCACAATCAGGAGTTCTTCAGGCTCAGATGGGGAAGAAGCCTGGGCCTGGGATTTCAGGGCTACAGCCATGGTCTGTCCTCGAAACCTCGCTTCAGCTAGGCTGTTTCAGCCAATATCTTCCTGCATCTACAGTGTTATTTCCAGGGGGCTCTTAGGAGATGAAACACTCCTCAAGTCTCTGAAGGCCAAAACAAAAAGGAAACAGTGAGCGTGAAGAGAACAGAGATGCCACCTGGCATGGGGGTGCTAAGAAGCCCCTTTCCCATAGCAGGAAGTCAGACCACAACCTGGCCCCAAGAACAGCAGCCAGTACACTTTGGAGGAAGACAGCACTCTGTGAAATCCTCTGGGACACACTAAGCAGCATGGCCTCCCTGACCTGTCCCGAGCCCTCCTCGCTTCTACACACGTCCACTGTAAGAGCTTATTTCGACTTGGGTTCTAAATGCCAGCCAGGAACTATCCCCAGAACTCCAGATTCCTGTGGGATATTTTCATTTGGCAGTATCTTTGGCATCTCCAGTTCTGTGATCAGGAACCAAATTCACCATTTTTTCCTGCAAACCTGTCCCCTTCTGGATCTTTCCAGGGAGCAAAGGCACCTTCCATCAAGTGGCCCACACCAGGAGCCTGGTCATTTTTCTCCAGGACCATCCCCCCACATCCAGTGCAGCTCAAGTGGTGCCCAAGGCCACCACCCCAATCCAGATATCATCCTGCCTTTTCACTTGCTCAGTTCCCTAGCGCACACCCTGCCACCTCTCCCGTCACCCCAGCCCCCAGCCCCTCATTCTCTTTCCACACAACCAATATAGACCATGCAGCTTCCCTGCAGGATGAGCACAAGCCTTGCCATGTCTCCACCCTCACGTCTTTGCCATGCTCCCATGAGTCCCGGCATCCACCAGCACAGCTCACAGCCCCTGCATCACACTACCCTGCACCCTGCCACGTGCTGTGGTCATGCCCTTTCTTCAGCTAGCTAGGTCTCTGCTTACAACTGTACTTTCTCCAAGAGGCTCTCCCTGAACCCAAAACAAGATTCAGTGCTCAGTCACAAGCTGCATGGCATGCCCTGCTCTCACTTTGCTGTGATTCTCTTGCCACTCAGCTTCCCAAGGGCCCCAACACAGCGCTCAGCACACACGGAAAGCACTCAATAAACAGTGAAATGATGAGCAACTAATGACGGTGCAGTGTCATGAAGCAAGGATTATAATTAATCCCTTTCTGTGCACACTAGATAAAAAGAATAAATGACCTTCTTGTACCAGGAATTCTTTTCACGTATTTATTGCCATGCCAGTGCCACTTGCCACTTTCTACACTGTACTAGCGGGCTGTGTGTTTATTCCTCCTTGGGTCGCACACCCCCACCGCCACAGTAAGCACAGTACACTAAACACAGGAGGCTCTCAGTAAACACTGTGGCGTGGACGGCTGGGGTTACTTCTTTCATACAATGAAGACCCTGACAACATGCATGCCGGGCTCTCTATAAAAACGAGCTCTTTGTCATTCCCAACCAATCTAGATGACATAAAAAAAATGCCGACTCAAAGGAAGCCATTAGCTGCGTCCAAGTGGGAATGACACAGCTGAACTGAGAATGGAGGGAGAGTGGTATTTTGCATTTTAGGTCATCTGATTGAAATGTCTGGAAGCAGAGTAAGGGGGAGGAAAAATACACAAGTGCATCCCAAACACCTTCATCTGTCAGGGAGAGGCCAAGAACACAACTCATGGCCACCTGGCAGCGAACTGCTCATCCTCCAGCTTTCCATTCACTGTCACCACATCAGATGACCAAGAATCACCTCCCCCAGATCCCATGTTCCCAAAGCAGTTGGCACATGCCTCTAGGATATGGACAGGTGTTCTCCTACATGACAGTTACCTGTTCTCAAGTCTGCCAGCCCTATTCAATTACACCACGAGAGCCAGTAGTGGATTTTACCAAGTTCTGAATCCAGTGCCCAATCCAGGGTCAGACAAACAACGGGGGCACTGAAAATTTTGTTGCCTTTTATTAAAATGGTAAATCTGATACATCAAAAGGCTAATGGACTATAGACGCCACATAATTTCTATTAATCTAAAGAATTAACTATTATGAAACTTCATTTTTTAACCAGTCTTCATCATGCACTAGTCCAAACACAGTCGTGTCCCTCACTAACAAGATTCTAAGTGACCAGCCACCTGCAGAGTTCCTCTATACTTCCTGCACTGCACTGGAAGCTAGAGCCCTAACAGGCACCAGTAACCGACTCTACTTTCATCAACAGTTAGTCCAGAGAAAAAGACCTTCGATAAGCCAAGGCGTGAATTTTGAGTTCCTGCACGGAAAGAACTCTACAACAAAACAAACCATTACCCCTCTTGGCCCAAAGCCAAGTCCCAGATAATAGCTATTTTTTTCTGGGGAGACTTGAAAGTCCCAAAAGTTAGTTTCAAATAAAAATATGAAAGCAGAGCTCTTTCTACTACTCTAAACAGACATGAACAGCAGCCTGTCCACAGAGGTAGGTCAGCACAGCCAGCCGGCAGAGGAGCTGGCAGGGGAAGTAGACAAGGGCATTCCTCAGTCTGGAGACCACGAGGAACAGCAACCTCAAAGAGCACCCACTTACTGCATGCCCATGAGTGCCAGGCCTGGGGCTAAGTGCTCTACATTCGTAACCCCACGGAATCCTCCAGGCAAGCAGAATAATCAGTCTTGAGCTGCATTACATGAACTGTTACTTACACACATCACATAAACACTTGAAAGAGCAAGAAAGGACATCATTTAGACAATGCAGCCAGTTCGGGTCACTGTACGTCTATCCTGAGTGAGCATGTGTATGAAACCCATGACTGCTGGTCCCTGAGATCACCCGAGTTCCCTCAAGCTACACTGAATATCTTTCCTACAGCTTAGACACAGCAGCACCAACTCTTTTATCTAACATTCAACTAAAAATAAACCTCGTTGTGCTGGTTAGCTTATTGAAAGACAGCATGTTGGTTTCTGAAATGGCTCCTTGCCAGAGGATTTTCAAGCTGTGATTTTTGGTGAAGGTGACCTTTCACCTTCTGTGCTGACTTTACAGTATAATTATCCTGTAAGGTATGACCCCACTACAGCAACTTGCATATGGGGAATTGAGTTTCTATGAAGATTTACTTAAGACTGCAACTAGTGAGTGAGAGAGTTGGGAGCTAAGCCCAAGTTTATTCTCGCCAGTCATTTTTCTTAACCTACTCTAGGTCTGCCAGTAGTCCAGACTCCTTAAGAAGGTATACAGAGTGAAGGAGCACTTCAGGATCCAAGTTCCCCTCCCACCATTGATCAGCTATGTGGCTTGAAAGGTACCACACCCTCTGCAGCTGCAACCGAGGCTCAGCTTACAGCATGACCCTCCTCAGTAGTTGTCCCAGGTCCCAACACATATGATGAGAGTAAAGCAAGGAGATGGGGAGACTAGAATCAGTAGCCACAGATGTAAATGTGTCTACAGGCCAAGAATGTAAATCAGTAAATGAGCAGAGTGGGGTCACAACTACCTACAGGGCGCCTTGGAATGCTGGATTTTTCAGTATTGGCAATCAATTCTAAATTGTTTCAAATGCCAGGAGGATTAAGTAGAGCATACTGGTAAGCTTTGTTCAGCAGACATGGGCTGTCTGTCTCTTGCTGTGTTTTAGCCAAATGATCTCACTGGTCTCTTCCAATATTCAGAAGACCTAGAAAGGGTACAGCTATTCCTAAGTAGTGAGGGGTTGGTGTCAACTGTCAAAACTAGCACCCCTTCACAGAGAAGCTGCTGGGGCAGTGAGTGTGGATAGGAACATGAGAAGCCCAACGAGTGAATAGGTGTGGGGAAAAGAGATCTGCTCCCTGCCCATGGGAAGGTCAAGACTGATCTGTGGTGTCCAAAGAGAATGAACTGGGAGTTCCCAAAGACTGCCAAGCTCGTTTGGCTGATAGTTCCAGCAGCCCGACCTCCTATGTATGGTTTAAACAGGGACAGAAGATGGGTTTCATTTCAGCATCAACTTTAGTCAACTGTGCTAAGAATCCCATGTAAATATGAGCTATGACCAATTAACTATGACTGCCAGGTACAGAAAGGGTTAGTAGCAGCACTTCTATGGATTGGCCACCCTATTTGAACCTCCCACAGGTGTTGAATTAACCAAGACAACCTCCTAGGCTGGAGGAGACTAACTCATGTCCCTAAGAATGTGCTGGAAGTGGAAGTCTTAAAGCCCTGTATGGCAAAGTCTACCCCAGATGGTCTCTGTTCACACTTCTTACTTACTAATTTATATCAATCAACTACTGTGGATTGGAAAAGGGAACTCAGAAACCCATTCCTCTTCTGGAAAAGTTTAGTGAAAGAGAAAAAAAATCACATTAGTATGGTGAAATGTGGCAAATACAATAAAAAGTTGCTGGGGCTGGAGAGGGATTTCATTTGTTTAAGGGAATTAAGACAAGTTACATATGAGTTGATTTTTGAAGGAGTGGTTCCCTTGGCAGAGAAGGGGGTGGGGAGGTGTTCTAAGCAGAGAGCACAGGATGTATAATGGTAGAAAACCAAACAGCCTCCACAGGAAATGGGGAAATCACCTTGACAATGGAGGAATGCTGGATCAAGATTAGGATGCAAAGAGAGCTCATGAAGGGTTTCAGATGTCAGGCTGCAGTGTTTGGACTTAATTCTACAGGCAAGGGGAGCCAATGATGGTTTTGAAGCAGAGGGCATAATCACATTTGTGGGTTAAATAGACCACACTAACTACAATGTATCTGCCCAGTTGGTGGGGGGGGGGGGGGTGAAAAGGTGGAGGTATCTGCTAAAATTTTACAAGGAAGGGACAGATTCCAGACACATTAATGAAAGATTTGAAGATCCCTGTTAGTGGAAGAATGCAAGAGAAATCGAGGGAGCCTGGGTAAAGTGTATGATGGGGGCATTCACTTCCATCATAAGGAAAGACGCGCAGACTGGCAGCAGAACACAACAGCCACTCCTACCCACCGGGTTCCAGCGGGCACAACCACTGGGGAAGTGAAAGGGATTATCAGAGCAGATAAGTCTGTTCCAGGTGGGCAGAGAGAGGCTAAAACACTATCTTTTAAAGGTCGGGCTTCAAGCGCAGGCCCTGCTAGCTTCACTCCTTGCTACGACCCCAAGCCCTCAGTCCTTCCCTCTGTGGTGCCCAGACCCTTCTAAGACGGGGCTTCCTCACCTGCACACGTTTCTGAGACCCTCCTTCCTCCCAGGGCCCTCCATCGCCCACCTCATCCCCGACCTCTCTATGACTCTTCCATCTCCGAACGCTTCATCCTCAGATCGCCCCTCACCCCCGGCCCCAACGTTAAAGCTTCTTCCTTCCCTCCCTCTCATCTTCCCCGGCCCCCTGTGGCACCACCACCTCTTGAGTCTCCAGCCCAGAGGCTGAGTCTCAACTGCCCCCGCCCCGCCACCCGGACTCACCCACCGAGACACCCACTTCACAACAGGGCGGAAGTGCTCCAGGGTTCGCGCAGGGAATGCTGGGACGCGGAGTCCCAACCGCGCCACCCTGGGAATGGAGTGTCGGAGACTACTACTCCCAGAAGGAATCGCGCGAGCGCCGGTGGGCGGCCCCTCGTGCGCTCTTGAGAACCAATCGATGTGGTGTTCTCGCCTGCTCTCGGACACCAGAACGAATCAGAATGGGAGCTCTGCATGAGGGCGGGGACTGTTGTGAATTCCCGTCCCTTCCACAGAATCCCGGATCACAGCCCCGTCCAGGGGGCGGGCACTCAAGCCGGGGGGCGGGGCTAGTGACGGAGCGGTGCGAAGCCATTGATCCAGGCGAGATCAAAGCAAAAACAATAAGGAAAAAAAGGCGGTGACTGGAGGCGCTCAGACTGACGGACAAGAGAGAGTTGGATAATTGTAGGTTCAACTTCTAGCTCACAACTGAACTGCGTGACTTTAAGTGAAATGTGAACCTCTCTTCACCTGTAGAACGAGAACAAAAATAACATCCCTGGCGCCCGTTTTTTGTGATGCTTCAATGGGTTAATACACCTAAGACGATTAAGTCGGAGCCTGGGTCCTAGTAATACATAATGAATGTTAACCATTGTCGTGTAAATCAGTACAGAGCTTGACACCTCGCGGGTGCTGGAAGAATGTTGATCATTATCAAAACAACAATAATCAGAGAAATCAATATAAATGCAGTTGCTTTGTAGCATTGTGACTATTGGAGTGTAAACAAGCTAATGGGGTTGAGAGTGTGGGTTTGATCATCAAACGTGGATCCAAACCAAAGCTATTTCTTAGCTGTGTGGACTTAAACACATCACAGCATCTCTTCAGTGTTGGTTTGTTTTTGTTTTCATCCATAGTTTGCAGCCAATAACTATAACAGAATCTACATTGCAGAGTTTTGTCGTGGTTAAATGAGATAATGCAGGTAAACTGTGACCTCTGGAGTCAAGCTTCTTGTGTTTGAAATTCTTACTTTCAAATGCAGGACATTGTGTCACCCTGGGTCAGTTACTTAACCTAATTATGACTCTGTTTCCTCATCTGTGAAATGGAAATAATAGTAATGGCATCTGCTAAGAAGGTTATATAGAAGATTAAGTAAGGGAAAGATGTAAAGAATTTGGCATATCTGGCAGAGAGTTTAATAATCATCAATAAGACTTTTCCTAATGGTTATAGGACTTTGGGAAAACTGATAATATCTGGCACCTGGCTCTTCAATACCTGTTGGCTATTAAAATTAGGAATACAGGCCCTCCCTGGTGGCGCAGCGGGTTAAAGCACAGCACTGAGAATCTAAAGCCGCTTCCTCAGGAGTTCGTTTCCCGCCTGCCCCGGAGGTGACCACATGGCGTGGCAGACCTCTCCTGACCCGCCCGCTGCTCCCCTCTGCAGTGTACTTCGTTGATCTGCCTGTTCTGTTTCCCACTTTGTGTCTGGTGAAACCTCTCACCGCCCCTGAACCTCTGGCCTGTACCCCGTTCTGTATGCACAAATAAATCTTTAAAAAAAAAATTAGGAATACATATCTTGGTGTTGTGTGGTTTTGGTTTTTTTTTTTTTTTTTAGTAGCATTGAGTTACAACACTGTATATGATTGCGATGTATAGGATCAACCCCTTTGGTTGTATGTTGTCATACAACACCTACCACCAAGACACCACAGTTCACTGGACACCCTCCATACAGTGCTCCCCCACTCTCCCCTGCCCCTTGGTAACTTCAATTCTACCATCAGACTTCTGTGGTTTGATAGTGGTTTGGTTTTGCCTGATTCTTTGTTTTGTTTCTCTATATGCCACCTGTAAGTATAACCATCCAGTATTTGTCTTTTTCCTACTGACTTCTTTTGTTTAGCATAACCCCTCCAGTTCCACCCCCATAGTTGAAAATGGCAATATTTGGTGTTTGGTGTTTTTTTTTTTTTTATAGCTGAGTGATGTTTCATTGTGTATATATACCACATCTTCTTAAACCATTATCTGTCCTTGGGCACTTAGGTTGTTTCCATTACTTGACTATTTTAAATAGTCCTGCAATGAACATAGGAGTGTGTGTGTGTGTGTGTGTGTATTCATATAAATATATCCCTTTGAAATAGGGTTCTTACATTCTCCAGGCGGAAATATGTAGGACTGGAATTGCTGGATCATATATAGATTTATTTTTAATATTTTGATAAACCTTCATACATGTTTCCATAGGGACTGGACCAGTCTGTATTCCCACCAATAATGTACCAAGATTCCTTATATTCCATCTCTTTACACTTGGTATATCTGGCCCTTTCCAATATGAGCCATTCTCATCTGTATCTTGGTTTTAAAGACTCAGCTCAAGTCCTTCTCGATGAAACATGTTCTGACATATTTATAACAATAACTCACATGATTTTATTTAATGAGCTTAATAGCAACCTGTAAACACTCCTTGTTATTACTGAAGTCTCACAGCAGCCCTATGATATTGGTATTATTACCAATTTACAAGGAAAAAGTGTGGGTTTAGACAGTTAAAGTGACTGGTCAAGAATACATAGCCAAGTAAGTACCAGGTCCGAGATGTGAGCCCTTACTATGTGACTCCAAAGGTTTCTTCTCAGCCCCACACTGCATAAGGACAGGATCACATGTTGAATGGGCTGAGACAGTGTGGCAGCATGGGGTGCTAAGAGGGCTGGGATATGTGAAAACCTATCAGACTCAAAGCTGGGGTCCCCTTCAGGATCCTCTGCCTCCAAGTGGGAACTTGGAAGTGAGGATGCACAGAGGGAAAACGACAACATTAGGACACAAGAGGGCGCCCTGTGCCCTAAATCCAGCCTAGAATTGTTCTAGGGTTTCCCTTAACCTTTGCCCAATAAAAGCCTGGCATTTTACAGAACAAAACTAGAGCCCTGTGCCCCGCCCCTTGAAAAAAGCGTGGGGCCTGAACTGTGCAGAGCAGATGGCTACTTCAGGACCCACCAAAATTTCCTTCTTTCCACAGTTCTCTTCCCAGGCCTTCTCTGCACTAAGCCAGCATTTGGCTTAGAAGATACATAGATGAATCAAACCCCGTTCCTGTCCCTGGGGCCTGAACTCCAAACTTTTCTGATCAGGTACTCCTATTAGCAAAACATTTTTGAGCACACACACACCCATCTATTATATGCTTGTGAATGATAGGCTTAGAGTACATGTGTAACTACAGAAAAAGCTAAATTTTACTGAATATCTACAATACAATATTAGCTTCTGCTCTCAATTTTCTACACATGTTAACTCATTTAATCCTCACAAAAACCTTCGAGGGAGAAGTTTTACAGAAGAAACTGAGGTGTGGAGAGATGATATAACATGCCAAAGATATATGGCTAAAGAAGCAGGCCATCTAGCTTAGAAGTGAGATTTTTATAAAACAGAAATAACTAAGAAATAGTTTTAACATTTTCTTTCTAAACCCCCATGAGTCATCTTGTGCTCCCCACTTTGGAGACCATTCTACATAGGGGCTTCCAGAGGTCTGATGCATTGTCATCAGAACTTTGTGAACAAGATATGCAGGAAGTTGTGGGAACCCATCTCACTAGCTGGGAAGTCAGGAAAGGCTTTGAAGAAGGTCATGGCTGAGTCCTATCTTAAAGGATACACAGTAGTTCCCCACAGGAAAGAAACTGGAGGAACGTTCTTCTTGGGGAGAGTGGGGGGGGTGGCTTCCTCCAGGCTCAAAGCAGACTGTAGCTGTGATCATGCCTCCGTGTTTGCATTGAGGGAACTGGCCCCCCTCAGTCTGCTGTCTTCTGGGCAGTGTTCTGGGGTTCCTTTGAGTCCTCTATAACCCTTTAGGGTCTGGATGGACTTGACCTGTACCCATTTCCACAGCTTGCGCAGCTCACAGCTCTCCCTCCTGGCCCACATGCTCCCTGAATTCCCAGCTCTGTCCCCTCAGGCCTACAGTCTGTGAGCCCAGCCCTTTCACCTGCTGCCTCATGTCAGTTTCTACCAAAAAAGAAAAGAAAGAAAAAGTCTAATTTTTACAGAAGAAGCTGAGGTACAAGCCAAGCACATTGTGGATTTCATAAATTGACTGAGGATTGGAAGATCTTGAGATCCCATCACTGAACAGCCACCTCCAGATTTTTCTCATTCAGCCTCTAGAGCTTTCATGAATCCTGTGTTCCCAAAGTTAACATTCTACCCTCCCCAGGCCTGCAGCACCCCTACCTCCCATCAGCAGCTGAGTCCAGTCTCAGGCACCCACACGTAGCCACTATCTCCCTGCCAGCCTGGCTGGCGTTTCTGTCCCCACCCTCCAACACACACACACACACACACACACACACACGACCACTCTAGTCCAACCCAGGCTGCCCCAGCCTGCCCCGCAGCCAAGCCCAGAAAGCATCCTTTCTTTCCTCTTCCTTGGGCCACACACAATAGTCTCCTCTGCGGAGCAGCCAGGCCAGTCTATGGTAGCGAGGGAGCTCGTGGCGGGAGACAGGCTCCAGAAAGATCAGCAGCAGCAATGGGGGGCAGGGGGCAGCCAGCAGGAGGGAGGTGGCCAGGCGGAGCTCCAGGCAGCAGCGTGGGGTGCGCAGGGCCTGGTGACTCACCACGCACAGCGTGGCCTGGCTGCCTGCCATACTCTCCACCACATTGTCAACCACGTCTTTGCCTGGCTCAAAATCCCGCTCCGGGAGGCAGAGGCGCAGCTCCCGGCCGGCCACAGAACAGCCCTCCAGAGCAGGCAGCAGCTCCCCCAGCACCCAGCCCTGGTCTTGCCTGGAGTGGGACACGAACACATCATAAAGGAACCTCTTGCCCTGCCCCCTCTGGCCCCTCAGCCCCTGAAGCCAAGTCCTGAACAAGGCCTGCAGGTAGAGGAGCCAGGAGTTTCTGGCATTGAGTAGGAGGGGCAAGAAGATCAACAGAAACAGCAGGGCAGAGCTCCCCAAAAAGAGTTCCAACCCCAAAGTATTGGGGCAGTGGCTCCAGAGATAGGGGAAAAGGGAATTCTTGTGGTGGTCCCCCACTGTAGACTGACACTGCTGGAGGGATGTTATATGTATGTATGTTCTGGGGGACCGCTCCAGCCAGGGCCCTACCCAGGCGTTGGCACAGTGGCAGGCCAGCTGGGCAGACATAAGATACAAGTACTGGGGCATCTGGGGACTGTAGTCCTGGAGGCTGCTGTCTAGCACGAGGCCTGTCTCCTGGTCTAGCACTAAGATTTGGAGGCGGCCCAGGCCCTGGAAAACAGAAGCAGACAGCGTCTCCACCCCAGTTTGAAACAAATGGAGCACCTCAAGGCTGGGCAGCTCACCCACTAGCTCCTCGAGCCGCACTGGACGGGGCTGGGCTTTGGATTGCAGGTCCTGCAGCTTCAGTTCCCGTAGACTGGGCAGCCCCGTGATACAGCAGGGCCGGGGGCTGTGCCCATTCCCCCATGCCAGTAGATACTGTAGCCTGGGGAGCTGCCAGAGAAAGAAGCTGGTGGTGTCCTGGGAGCAGAGGGACACCAAGCTATTGCCCAACAGGGAGAGGTGGAGAAGGGCCGGGAAGATCTCGGTGATGTTCTGGGTCCCCAGCTGCAGCCCCCAGCCGTGTAGAGTCAAGGTCTGCAAGGATGGAAAGACACTAGGAGCCAGTTCCCAGTGCTTGCTTGGAGCTGCCTGAAGCTCCAAGCTGGTCAACCCTGTGGGCAGAGATAGCACTGCCCCAGAAGGTCCAGAGGGGAGCTGAAGGCTCAGTTTGTGCAGGCTCTCTGGGCCCCAGAAGCCCCAGGCTGGGGTCCATTCTATCCGGGTGTCCTGTAGGTTTAGAGTGGTCAGTGTGGGCAAAGAAGATAACCAGCCCTTGCTTAGATTTGCCAGTGGATTCCTGAGCAAATTCAATGTCTCCAGACTCCTTAGGCCCTGGAATACCTGGCTGTCCAGACACACCAGCTGGTTTCCCTCGAGACACAGCTCCCGCAGGTGGGGCAAACAGGAGAAGGTGGCTGGGAGAAGAGCTTGCAGTCTGTTGTGGGACAGATTCAGGACCTGCAGTCCCGACACAATCCGGGTCTCGGTGCAGAAGGAGACACGCTGCAGCTGGTTGCCAGACAGGTTCAGTCTCTGAAGTCTGGGCATGGCAGCTAGGAGGCCTGCAGGCAGGTCCCTCAGGTGGCTGAACATGAGACCCAGCCTCTGCAGGGTGTAGCAGGGAGCCAGGGCCTCCAGAACTAGGCTCTGCATTGGGACATTCCCCAAATTCAGCTCCTGCAGCTCAAAGTAGGCAGCTGCTGCTGCAGGCAGCTCAGCTGTGTAAGTGTTTATCGCAGACAGGTTGTTCAGTCTCTGCAAACCCAGGCCCATCACGGCAGCTGCGTCCATCCTCGTATGGTCCAGATTCAGTAACCCCAGCTTGAGACCCCTAAGGGCCCCGGGACTGGCCACTGTCAGGTTTTGGTTGAATGACAAGTCCAAAGCGTCCAGAGTCCAGGCATCCCCCTGCGAGGAGCCAAGCACCAGGTCTGGGAAGATGCTGGCCAACAGCCCCACGTTCCGCAGGTTAGTATTCCTGATGGACAGCTGCAGCAAATTGGGAGGGAAGCGCACACCGGTGTTCCCCTCCAGGCAGGGGCCCCAAAAAGCAAGGTGCTGGAGGGAGCTCAAGTTGCTGAAGGCATCAGGGGGTAGAAGGAGGGACCTCATGTGGCTGTCCATGAACAAGAGCTTCCGCAGCTGCCCCAAACCCCGGAGCGCTCCTGGCAGGAGCTGAGTGAGACAGAGGTTCAGCTTCAGGACCTTGAGCCCGGGGAATTGGGAGAAGGCATCGGGGGGCAGGACGGAGATGGAGCCGGAGAGACAGAGGCCCTCCACGTTGTGTGGCACGGCCGCCAAGGCCTGTGTTAGGTTGCTTACGGAATGGCACCGTGCAAAGAGGGACAGGCTGGCATCCACAGGGCAGAGCAGGAAGTAGCGGGAGACCAGAGGCAGCTGGGAGCCTTCAATGACTAAGCAGTTAGGGACCATCCAGCCTGTGGCCAGAGGGAGGGCCAAGAGCAGGCCTGGCAGTAGCAAGTGCCCACCCATCTCAGCACCAAGCCTGGCCCACTGAGAAGCGGAGTCAGAACCACCTAACTGCTCCCCTCCCTTTTCCAAAGAAGAACGCACAGGCACAATACTCACAGCAGTGCCAGGGCACACTGCCTGTGGCGTGCCCAGGGCGGCCTAGAAGCGGGTATGGAGGGACACGGTCCTGCCAATTGCCAGGGGCCTTGGAATCAGTCTGGAGAGCTGGGGAAGTAGGGTTCACGGCTCAAGGCAAGGAGGAGGAACACTCCCCAGAGGGGGCAGGGCCTCACTTCTCTGTTGTGAAGGAGTTGTGGGGGGCAGAAACCTCATTCTGAAACCTGTCTGTAGTTTGCAGCAATGAAACAGGACCTCAGCATCTTTGGGCACAAGCCCCACTGAGCTATCATTCGGGGCAGTGTGCTTCCCAGCTCTGAGCGTCAGTGTCCTCACCACTGCGCCAAATGCAAGGTTTGTTTTGTTGCTGCAAAGTACAGATGGATTCCAGAATGAGGTTACACACACACACGCACACACACACACACACACAATCCCATCACCTCTTCCTCTCCTTACTCTAATAGAAAGGAGATCTTGAATAAGGCAGGATTTTCAAAAAGCAGGTGTTTTATGAGCAGAATTAACACAGCAAAAGGATGCCTGCATGGACATCTTGTACTTTTCCACATGGAAGAGTCCAAAGAGGCCAAACTTTACCAAGGAAGATTCTAGGGCTCCATTCCTGCCCCTCCAGCCTAAGCAAAGAAGAGTAGTCCCCAGAGCCTTGGCCTTGACCTACACTGCCAGCATGGCATCAGCACCCCAATGGAGAGCAGAAAGAGAAAAAGAAAGGAGCTTTATTCTCTCAAACAAAGTGATAAAATATTCCATAAAACTCAATCTGTATGATCATGATTTTTTTTTTTAAAGATTTATTTATTTGTGCATACAGAACTGGGGTACAGGCCAGAGGCTCAGGGATGGTGAGAGGCTTCACCAGAGACAGAGTGGGGAACAGAACAGGCAGATCAACGAAGTACACTGCTGAGGGGAGCAGCGGGCGGGTCAGGAGAGGTCTGCCACGCCATGTGGTCACCTCCGGGGCAGGCGGGAATCAAACTCATGCGGAAGCGGCTTTAGATTCTCAGTGCTGTGCTTTAACCCGCTGCGCCACCAGGGAGGGCCATGATCATGATTTTTAAAAAATAACTTAGGGCCCTCCGTGGTAGAGCAGCGGGTTAAAGCTCAGCACTAAGAAGCTCAAGCTACTTCAGCACAAGTTCGATCCCTGCCCCAGAGGAGACCCACATGGCGTGCAGACCTCTCCTGATTGGCCCACTGCTCCCCTCAGCAGTGTACTTCATCAGTCAGCCTGTTCTGCTCCCTGCTCTGTCTCTAATAAGTCCTCTTGCCGCCCCTGCACCTCTGGCCTGTACCCCAGTTCTGTATGCATAAATAAATAAATCTTTTAAAATAATAATAATAATAACTTAGAAGGCAAATATCTCTTGACTTATGAAAAGGTAACCACCTCAGATCTAGAGCAAACATAATTCTAAAAGGTGAACCACCTGCTGTATGCAAATGAAGCCAAGATGAGACAACTGCAATTACTTCAGTTTAACATCAACATGGAGGCCTTAGCTTAGGAGAATAAAAAAAGAACAGCACTTAAAATAATAAGTATTTTAAGAATCAAAAAAGGATCACCATTCATAAGATGCTATGATGCTCTACAAAGGAAATTCAAGAATTTCTAGAAACAAATAATTTCAGTCCCCCTCTCTGACTTGTCTTCTCCATCAGATCTCCCAGGGGAGGAAAAAGAACTCAGATCATGAATGCATTTGGAGAGAACATGGTGTGTGAGGTCTGTGCCTTGCTTTCTTTCCCAGAGCACACATTTTCATGTGTGTTAGGCAGTAACTTTTGGGAGATGCTACATGGGGAGATACATGTTCCCTGCACTGTCTATAAAGCTCAATTTGATGGTTAGAACTAATTTAGGGTTCACTATGAGGAAATCATGCATCTGCGTCTCTGAGACACTCTCCAGTGTCAACTTTACAGTAGTAAAGGTAAGAGCTTATTCTACGCCTTGTTTCTCAATTGGCTTAGGAGTCAATAATGAAACAGCAGTGCTCCCCACCACCTCCGCTAATATTGATTATTGGTGACTAGCCTGTGCCCCAAAATGGCTCTCAGATCATCATAACAGCGTATGATGCCTGGCCCACGCCATTCGGTGACAGACCTAGGACATAACCTGGAGCAGTTAGGTGAAGATGCAGAACTGTAGGTCTCACCGTGTTGGCAATTGCCACCCGGCCTCTGCAGCCAGGTGGGGATTTGCAGCCAGGTAGGAAGGAAGTTTCCCTTTGTTGTGATAACTAGGAGTTAATTTCTTTGCCCCAGATCCCCACGTGCAGGTTTCATGGGACACACTGGGGTTCCCGCTGGGTCTTGCTCCCTCCTTTCCCCGCTGTTCAGAGATATCAGAGACTCCTGAACTGCTTGAGCAGGAGAAGCCCTCCAGGTCAGTTGGTCCAACAACTCTTTTCAGAGGGAAATTGAGCCCAGAGAGAAGAAAGGGGCTTGGTGGGTATCGGGGGAGCAGATATCAGAATCCCCCTTTCTGTGGCCATCCAGAAATTCTTGAAACAACCAAAGTAACTACCATTTGTTGAGAACTCGAGAGGCACCAGACACCTTCCTCTGTGTGTGTGGCCAGTGGACGTTTAGAGCAGGTGCTGCTTGTCTTCCTCCGTAGGAGGTGAGAAAGTCCCCCACCGATGTCCCCATTCGGGTTTGGCTGTGAGTTCCAGTACTGTCACTGCCTTTGCGGCTTTGCTTTCGGGTGTCACTGCCAGACAACTGCAAATAAAGGATGCTGTTGTTTCCTGTGATTTCAACATCCCAGGACAGGCGGAGGCGCCTGAGGGAGAGCTGCATGGTGAAGGGATGTTCTCGCTGGCGCAAGGGCAAGTGGACATCCAACCAGGCCGGCCGGCTGAGCGGTTTGGCGAGGAGCTCGCTGTGGCAGCAGCTGGGGGAGTGATAGAGGCTTGGCCAGCTGGTTGCCTTACTTGAGGGTCGTTTTGTGTCCAGAAACAGGAATCAAATGACCTCAGCTAGAGCCGTAGGTCAGCTGAGCCTTGAGGAAGGCTGAAGCCAGGGAGTGGACAGTCCAGGACTCGCCAGGAGCGTCTCCTTCCCATCGCTGCCATCTCGGCGTCTGTCTTCTCCTGGCTGTTGATGGGCACCCTGCCCCAAGGGAACACCAGGCAGAACTCAAACCAAAGGCTAATGTTGGGGGGGGGGTGTGCAGAAGCTCCACAACACACCCCCTGCAGCGCTAGCCCCGTTTACCGCCTCTCACCCCCTACCACATCTGCTCAAGGTCTCACTCCCATTCTCTCTCCCCCACCCCCATGCTCTGGTTTTAATTTTCCACCCCCCCCCCTAATCCCTCAGGGACCCACTGTGGAGGCGGGTGTGGGGTCAGATGGAAGGAGAAGCCAGCATCTTCCTTTCTCAGGGACTGCTGAGAAACCCCACTCCATATGGCTCCCGTCTGCAGTGTGAACACTGCAACGCTCTGCTTGGGGGTGAACGGGTTTCTCCACAGTTCTGGAGAGAGAAGCAAATATTCCCTTGCTCAGCAAAGCAGCTCTCAGACCTTCCTTCTGAGCTGGCTTTGCACAGCTGCTCCTGCCAGGCACAGCTGTTGCCTGCAGTGCGAGCGGCCATGCTGCCAGAGACCTGGGCAATGACTGTCCACCTCTTCCCACCCCTGCCCCCACGTAGGGTTGCTGGACACACAAGTACAGAAGGCTATCATTTGCTGGGTGAATAAAGGAAAATTACAAGTGGGCTTTCTTTGTATGTCAGCCTGGTGCCTGTCCTTTCTGTGGCCCTGCGGCCCCGCAGCTCTCTGGGCCCCTAGAAGGTCACAGTGTTAAGAGGCAAGGCAGAACATGGGGAGAAGCTTTCCTTCTTTCTACACTGCAGGGTAACCTGGGTGCTCAGCGGCCTCCCCAGCCTGCAGGGCCGAGGCAGGTCAGATCGTTTGGACACTCATTTTCCTGTATCAGTGCTGTCCCGTCACTAACCCAGGTAACAACTGGGCTCAGAAGTATCTCAAGGTTACTTTGACCTTGGCATCTTTGGGAGCCGGTGTTGCCTCCTTCCTGCTCTGCATGGGTAAAGGCTGCCACTCACGCTGCCGCCTCCACTCGACCCTGGACATCGCCCTGGGTATCAGTAGGGCCACTGGTCACACTATAGCGGCTACCTCTGTCTGCATGTTAATGTTAATGTTCTGCTGGCCAGTGACCAGGACTTTCACTCTGTTTTATTCTGTTTGTTTTATTCTGTTTACACCTGTGGCTTCTTACAGATGCTGGATGCTGAGCCCTGAGCCTCGGCCCATCTGTATCACCTGGGCACGGAGCTGAGTCTCACTCTACTGTCAGGTCTTTGCTTCATTCAGCTGCCATTTGTTGAGCACCTGTTGTATGTAAGGCACTTTCCATTGCTTTTAAGTGCTATGAAGGCACTATTACTGGTATTTTTTTAAAAGAGCATTTCTTAGTGGTTTAAAACAACATGCATTTACTATCTTACAATGTTGGAGGTCAGAAGTCTGAAATGCATCCAAGAGGCCTTTTCAGAGAGGTCCTGAGGAAGAATCCATTTCCCTTCGGGAGGCCACCCATGTTCTTTGACTCGCAGCCCTACCAGATCATGCCTCGACTTCACCTTAACATCTTCTCTGAGAAGCCCAGTGATGACATTGAACCCCACCTAGATAATCCAGGAAAAACTCCCCATCCGAAATCCTTCATTACTCATATTTGCGAGTTCTGATTGCCACGTAAGAAAGTAAGGTGTTCCCAGGGTTCAGGGAAGAGGATCTTGGGAGCTGGGATTCTGTGTCCAGATGAATGGCTTCTATCCGGGGGTGCATAGTGGTTCCCTGTGATTTGCCCTCTGGCACTCCCCATTCTCTCCCATTTCGT